TAGTCTTATCATGGGTTTGCACTAAAGTCTTATGCAACACCAGTTATTAATATTCCTCTATATGGGTGTAATATTACACTTAGCATAGATGCCCCAAGCTCCTATTCAAGATAGTGCAACAAAGGTTACAGATACACCAATCCAACCGATCAACAGAGACAGTTACCATAATACAGACCTATTTTCCAAAATTCATTGTCCATAGGATTTGAACTTAGACCTGCCATTTGGGTGTTGACAACCTAACCACTTCACTAGGTTACCACACTCCTAGTTATATTTGTAATAATGTGATTAAAGCATTAAATATAATAATATTTTAATTTGAATTTAAATTACTAGATAGCTTTTTAAAATTAAACTTTTTTTTGTTTAAAAAAGCTTAGATGTTTTAGAGATACCTAGTAAAACCATCTGTGTCTTGCAACTACTTGATGTATTAGTAAACAAACTATTTAAAAATGGCATGATATAAAAATAGAAAAAATAAATAGATGAAGGAAAAGGCAGGCTTACTAAAAAAGAAAACCACAAAAGAGCATTATATAAATTGGTATATAAATAAGTTTCTGAAACATAAAGAGAAATTAGTATAGATCTTTTGGCTAAGCTTTTTGAAGCAGTTAGGCTTATACTTAACCCTGATGCCAATAAAGATAACAAGATAACAAGCTATCTTCAAGCTATTCTTACAAACTATATAAATAAGGTGGTCTTTTCTGGAAAAAAGATAATAGATCATCAAATCAAGATAATGTAGATAATAAATCAAATCCTGATGATGAACTTGATAATAAGCATGATAATGAATTTTATGATAAAAATGTGACAAATGATAATCCTAAAGATATAATGAACTTTGATTGAAAAATTAATAAGGCAATAAAATTATTAAATACTGAATCATTAAAAAAAAAAAAAACACAAACCAAATTTATTTATCTTTATTAATAGCTGTTATAGAATTTAACTAAAAATTAATATGACCTTCATTTATTACAATAGGTCATCTTTTTTTTTAAAAAAAAAAAAATTTTTAAATAATTTCTTTTTTTTTTCTTTTACTTTTTTTTTATTTTTAACAGATTATTAAATATAATTAAGGTTGGACTAAACAATAAGAATATTATAAATGATATAAATAAACTTGACAGTATATGCTTAAAATATAGTGTTTATTTATTATCAAAAATTATTTGAAATTGAAAATAAATAGAGATAAACAATATAATAATAAATAATAAATACTTATTTTATACATTCTTATTTATCATTACAAATTAACTTATACTATAAAATTGTATTATTTATCCCTTAGATTGTAATATAGGCAAATTTGTCTGTGTAATTTTTTTTAAATTAATTTTTATAATAAAATTTTAACAATTAATTTTAGTAATATATTTTCTAAATAAAAAATATTTTTAAAAACCTATTTTATAAACTTTGTTAAGAAAGTTTTTAACTTTATTAAAAAACTTTTAATTAA